TGAGTCAACCTTGAGCTGGTGAGACTCAAACTGCCAAACTGCTGGCAGTCGGCAGTCAGTAGAATTAGCCTGCAGTACTGCATTCTCACCACTGTGCCACCAGGGCTCTTAAGGAGGGCATCTATTTTTTTAGGCTTACGTGGAACTGAAAAACAAGGTGCAACTTTGATAAATAATAGCTAAATCAGGGATGTTTGCAAGGTGAGAGCAAAAAAGTCAAGATGTTGCCACAACCATGTAATCAAAGCCCCACCCTTCTGAATGTGTTTTATGGCAGGGCTTGTATTGCATAGTTGTGGCACCGAGAGAGATGTCTTGCTTGGAAAAGGTAAAAAAGTATTTTTGAATTATTTTTAAAATGCACAGTCCCAATAAGTTTGTTATACTTACATTCCTGACTCCTACGACCAGCTTATAAACATATGCATACTTAAATAAGGCCTCTAAAGGTAGCTTTGAAACATTAAATAAATAGTGGTAAATATCCAGTAACTCTTATATGACTTTTGTAATTTAGTTAACACTTTTAGGCCCAGAGTTTTTAATCACAGTCCAAATAAAAAAGGTGGAGTGGTGTGCCCTATAAGTATTCTCTGCGTAAAATTGTTGGCCTAAAAATCATTTCATTCTAATGCAGCCAGAGCAGAGATAGGGGCTAACAGCCTGATAGATTTGCCCTCTTATTATCTCAGCTATGTAACTTTCTTAGTACTCATCACCAATCCCAAGGAAGGAAAGAAAGAAAATCATTATAATAATAAAATAAGTATAAAAACTCAACACATTTCAGGTTTTTATGTATTTAAATTGTTTTATTGTTCCACCCCAAATCATGTTAGTTTAATTGTCAGATCTGTCTCACATAGAAAAAACAACAACTTTGAGTGGTCCTTGGTGTTCTCTGACCTTGGAAAAAAACTTTTCTCTTCAGTTTCCTCTAAGCAATGGGTAAACAAAAATATATTGAAGCTAAGAGAGGATGAGATCAGTGACCTGCATCCTGGAAAAAAGACAAGACTAGAAAAGTAAAAAAAAAAAAAAAAGTCTGAAATCCAAACATGGTTTAGCACATCTCCTCTCCCCATGACATGTTTGCATAACTGCTAGAGAACTGAAATTATTTTATGAAATCGGTTTTGCATTAGGAAAATGACTCAAAGCACACATAAATTTTGTTTAGAACAGCAATGGTGTATTGCTTTGCACCAATTTTCACAACATCATTTTTTTATCATATTTCTCATTCACACAATGAGAAGTTTGTTAACTTGTGCAAAAGCAGCATCAAGAGGCATTCTCCTTCCATTGATGATTCTTTGGATACAAGTTTAGGATTTTGGCTAGTCTGGCCCTGGAGAGACGAGGTAATCTGTTTTAATTCTATAATTTTTATTGATTGTTGTGAGGCCATCTGGGATCACTCAGATAAGCAGCCATATTTTAAAGTGATTAAGGATATTGCTTTTCTACTGCATGACAGTATGATTTCATTGGGAATAATTGGAATTTATAAAATATGTGAACATTATTTTTCTGTGGTACAATCCAGCTGTCTAAATAATACAGGAAAACAAGCAGAATTTCTAGGATTGTTTATTCTTACAGATATATCTGTGGCATTTTAAACACTGTGTTATAATCAACATCTCAGGATCATTTCAATAAATTTTCCTACATCTGTGCAAATATGGTGTCAGAAAACTTAAAAACTCACTCTCAAATATGTCCCTGTCCATATGTTTACAATTTCTATATTTCTGCCTAAATCTAATAAGGTAGCCTTTTGTCTATCAAATTCTTGTCTAAATATGTTGGTTAGCATTTACAGTGGCATATAATTCTTGACTATTTTCTGCAATTCCCATTTCCTTTCAGAGTTTTGTGAGGACATGTTGGAAAATGTGTAATGCTTCTAACATGGCCAAGAAATTCCTAAGAGACAATGACTGCCTTTTAATTATTGTGAGAAAGATTTTCTCTAGATTATTGTCTCAAATACAGATGTCAAGGCTTTTTAAAAAATAAATAAATAAATAAATAAATAAAAGGTTAAATTAAATAAACTATCCTGAGAAACTTGAAACATTGCTTCAAAGGAAATAAGGCCATAGACCAATAACAAACTTTTTCCCTAAGCGTGGTACAGTTTTGGCTACATCTCTTTACGTAGCCAAAACAATACCACTGATTTACAGGAAGAGAGAGAATTAGTTAATAACATATAAGGAATTCAACTTTTATAGAAAAGAATCGATCTCAAAAACTTCAGAAAAAAATCTTCCCGGGAAAAAGAATTAAGAAATCAAACAGCTAAGGCCAATATATGTAGAAGTAACGGAACTGCCATGAACCAAACTTCTGAGGGTTTGGAGGTGCAAATGCTGAACTGGAATATTCTGAAAAAGGGCAGGGACTGATTGCACAAGAATAGTTCACGTTGCAATAACTTGTGCTAGTCTGACATCTAACACGAACAGCAGCACAGTGGTTATATGACGCAAAAAGTTTGCTTTTCAAGTTTTTTTTTTAAATTTTGGGGTTTATTGTGTCATGTAAGCCTGATGTCTACATTATTGGTTTGTACAACACAATTTAAACTTCGTGAGTTATATGTTCCAGTTTCTATTAACCCACTGGCAGCTGCTCTGGATTTGGATTATCAATAAACCCTCTATATTAGCTAAGGAACAGCACATGATCAAGGACTATGGTGGCAATTTGCTAACTACATTATGTGAACAGCCTATGTAAATGCTTGTAATGCTGTGAATGTAAAATGTGCCGTAATTGCTTTTAGAATGTCCATAATATCAAGAAAAGTTTCATGTGTTAGTTTACTATGAGTCCCAGTGTTCTTTAAGTTTTCTATTTTTCTGCTCTATCTCTCTCTATATATGTCACATGTAACTGCATTTCTCTCTCCTTCCTGCTCCTCCTCCAGTTGTGGTTAACTCAGTGGTCCTTTGCATCTTTATATTATTATTCCTATCTATTATCTACTGCATTATGGAAAACATGAGCCCAGAATTTAGGAATGAACCAATGCAGAAATTAAGATACCTAATCATTTTGTCATGACTCTGTTAGGCTAATATTCTATATTTTATAGTTTGGATTAAAAATATAGGGCAAAGATCTTTAGTTGAATCATCTGAAATACCAAGAACTGAATCTGGGAACTTCTGTTCCTGGAGACTTTTCCGTGACTGGTGCCCACTAGGAATTATATAAGGTTGCAAGTTCATACAGAAGTTCCTGAGAATCAGGAAGTGGTGGCAAAGTACTGGAAGACAGAGGCGGAGTTGCTATTCTACTTACCCTATATGTCCTAGCTGAGTGCAATGGAGAATGTTATCCTACTACAGGGATGCCACTGGTAGTCATCAGCAGTGTCTGTGGGAGAGGCTCTGAAAGATGGCAGATCATGAGAGAAGCCTACTCCTTTTGTACATATAGTGACCCTGCACCCATCACCTTGCAGATTTTGAGGCCACATTGTGGATGCTCATATGCTCAACTGATAGTCAGTTGGCTTTTTTACATGGAAAGGGTACATGGTATCAGAATACTATTAAAATTCAAAATAGTTCATATATTTGGCAATACACATTTTATCTCAAAATATTGCCTTAAAATACTTCAGTTCTCAGTTAGAATTTTAATAGTATTCTGATAGTTATTAGAGAAAGACCACTCACCCTACTTGATATATGAAGCAGTCAAAAACATTTGAGGGCACAATTAAGAAACACACCAATATTTTAAGAAGTTTAAGAAATTTTGATCCTTATTTAGGTATCTTGTCACACTGCTTTAGGTTAGGGTACCTAGTAATTTAACCATACGATTCAATATAACAAATCAAAGGCATAATCTTTACAAAATCTGTATTACCATTTTTGTAACTGCTTACTCATAAATATTTTAAATACTAGTAAATTAGAAAAGGATACTAAAGGCAGCATAACACTTACAATAAAATTTAAATGAAATTGCAAATACAAAAAATCCTACATGTATTCAGAATAAATCTGTATGATTCTTTTAATGAAAAGTTGTTTTGATTGACAATACAGGGCTTTGATTCCAAAATGCCTATCTATTAAATAATTTCATGAATATAAACTTTGATACACGTGGTTCATATTAAAATTAAATATTGATATTTTGTAGTACTTGACGATTATAATAATAATCATTTACAATAAAGTACACATATTTTATAATGTTATCTATTCAGTATTTATACCAATATGGAAATTATTATTATTAATTTGGCTCAGTATTATGTGAAAAACTACTATGCCTGTAATCTATAATGTCACAAACAAACTGATCTATATAAAGAGAAATTTGTTTCCGTTGTGGCAATTATTTGATTAAACCAGAGCAATGGCTTTTGCAGCAAAGTATGAATGTGTCAAAATGATGATATATGCATAGTGCCAGCATTAGGCAAATGCTTCTTTAACTACTTAAAGTAGCTAAGTCACTTGATGACATAGCATAAAATGTGGCATTTACTTGAAGGTAGCGTCTTGTATCCCAACGTCTGCAGATGCCCTTGTCTGAACCAATAGAATTTCACTAGTATAATTTATGTGACATATGAATAGTGTAATTGATTTTATCAGAACGTGGATTGCCAAGTTAGCTGAATATAGGAACAGTATATTATTTAATCACTTTAAAATTGCCTTTCCAGCAATGAATAGCTTTAACTCTGGTCCAAAGCAAATTTGCTGAAAACTACATACAAAAGCAATTTATGAATTATAGTTAGCTTCTGTGCTGACTGACTTAAAACCAGCATAATTTTAAAATAAGTCTGAAGTGAGTGAAATATAGCATAATACTCTGTTCAACTTATATTTTCTAATTTTCTAACTGAAGTTAATCTTTTTTTCCTGTTCAACAACAGATATTTTCTTACTTTGTCTCCACTCTATTTTTATTATTCCTCTCCTTTTATTCCTGCCATTTCTTTCATCATTCCTATAATGGCAACTGCAATCTCTCTTGAATGGAACTAACATGCTCAGTACAGTGCCAAGTTTATTATTTCTTATAAGTAGGTGTTGTGATAAAAGTTGAATAGGAATCTGTGAGTTTTGCTGCTACAGGATTTTTGGTTGATCTAATTAACTGAAATGCCATCAAATAATCACTAAGATAACAGTATATAATGTTAATTTCTTAACAAAGATGAGTTGTTTTTTTAACTAAACTCAGAAAATAGGAATTCAGTTACACTTTGCATAGAAAAAAAATCCCACTAAATTTCTTGGTAATTTTGTAATAGTGTAAGTCATAGGATGATAGATCTAGTGACTCTTTTCCAAATCTGTGTAGAGAATGTACTTTCTGGAAAATAAGTTCCACTTATTTCTGTTCAGTTATGTATGGGACTATAAATATATTATTTATGGAAAAAAATGACTCTCCCCATTGTAATGTCAGTTACTACAAGATTTCATATGAATTCCATTTTGTTTTAAAATTGGCATTTGTCTCTTTTTATCACCTACAGTGAATTTTTACCTATATGCTATTACTGTATAACTGGGGAACAGTAATAGCTTATGGGGGGAAATGAGATGATATATTGTTGTAAAAGCATATTGGCCTGAGTGACTTAAATAATCTTATGTCCTTCTTTTTTGTACTTGTTGATTAAAGATTTGTAGCTGGGTAAGAATGAGGATTACATTGGTAGCTTTCTTCAAGAGATGTATTTGGTTTCTCTCACGTTGTTAAAAAAATGTCCTGAAATAGAACAAAGTACAAAAATACAGTTACTGCCCACCCAATCAAGCAACAACATAAAAAGCAAACTGTGAACCAAAGTAAAAACTTTACTTCACTTATTCTTTACTTTTTCACAAGAAACTAAAAAAATTGTCAGCATGACAAAACCACTAAGATGATTTACTAAGGATGAGTGAGATTTAGCAAAGGTGAGGACGTGGGAATAAGAATGTTTTTGTGCCTCTGGTGGTAAAAGAAAAAATACAGAGTTCTTCCTTAAGATGAGCTGCATGAGCTATTGCTTCCACAAAAATATGGTTAAAAAATTACCCCAAAAGTACTGCACAACACAAGAAAGAGTGACTCATTTGTATTTTCTTTTCACCACCAAATGGATTCTGAACTTCATCACTTTCTTAGTTAACAGAATAACAGAATTGGAAGGGACCTTGGAGGTCTTATAGACCAATCTCCTAGACAAGTTCATAAGCAACTGGATCTTATAACTACCATATTATAATTAGTATGGATTTTTTTTTCTTAGGTATCATAAATGCACTATGTGTTTCTACGCATATTTACAAAGAAGGAAATCTCACCGAATTACATTAGGGTGACTTTCTTTCATATTTAATTGTTTGCTGCCTTCAGATTGGTGGATCTAACACTTCCTTGGGAATCAAGTCCTTACAAATGTAATTATGTGTACTTCTAGTAGACTAATATAGGACTGAGCTGCCAGAAAATTATAGCAAATGGAATTTAGGAAAAAATATTTAGATAACTTGTTAAAATATAACAGAAGAAAAAGAAATTTAAAAACAAAAAACAAGCAGTGAACAATATTCAAAGCCCACTGTGAACAGTAAGATTTGTTTTTGACAGTCCAGTTCCAAGGTATTTGAATGCTAGACTGATTTTCATGGAACTTGAAAAGCAAGTAACTATAAACTGTGCAGATCTTGGTACATTTTGAAAACAGGAAAGCTATTCTTAATGATTTTTCTAACAGTACATGCACAACAGCATAACACACTGGTTGATGTGTGATGGAAATGCATCCAATCCTGGGAAGTACTTATTTGGGGATGGGCACATTAAACAATAACCTAGACTGAAAAGATAGCCTACAAGAAGTGGGAAAATGCACATCAAACTTGAACAGCTAAAGAAAATGCCATTATCTGTATTTTATAAACATAGCATAATACAGGATTATTTTTAACACAGGATCTATGGTTAGTACAAGGCACATGCTTTGCAAGTGATGCATTTGAAAAAAAGAGTTTAGCTCCACTATTACCCATGGGAAAATGCTGCATGGCTTACAGAGGCAGGAAAAGCCGTGCTCTGTACACAGATGCCTGCCCTCCAAAGCCTTTCCATTTGGCTCGGACTGATGGATTAGTAAGGAACAGTAGCACTAAATACACAAAATGCGAAATATAAAATACGGATGGAAGCTATTTTTTTTGCAGGTCTCTAAGCCTACACCTAATTTTAGGATTGCAATGGCTTTTAAAGGAAGGAGCATTTAGGTTTGATAAAACGTTTAAAAAATCTGTAACAGCATCCTTTTCCCTCCTGCCCCCCCCATTGTTACATAAAATGAATATAAAATTAATGCAATTAATAGCCAGTCCCTATTTATGATACCAAGGACTCTTTCATCTTCTACTTCTATTAATATTGTGAATCAATATTTGAGATGAGTTTGGGTTTGGATAGACATAAATAATGTCTATATAAGCCACACAGTAGGGATCTGTGTGAATTATACAGTATACATAGATGTATAATAGCCCTTATAGGCTTCTCCTCTACTTGTTGTCTTGATAGTTATTTTTTTTCCTACAGTATTCCATTGCTAGCTGTTCTTGTACATTTTTAATGATACATTTTTTCTCTCAACCAATTTCTTCAGACTTCTCTACCTTCCAAATGGATTAGTAGCTCATTTTCTTTTGCTGAAATATATCCAGTTTGACTGCTTTTTCTTAACGGTTAATAACTAGAGGTGGAGTTAAAGACTTCAGTCAAAATTGAATAAAAGGGTAATCTAGTTTATGTCTGTGGATGCAGAAGTCTTACATTTCATCATCATAATCCTTGGGAGGAGACACTGCAATGACCAAGTCAATCCAATCCTGTGGAAGAAATACTTAATCAATATGAGATGAAATTGATCAGGGAATGAAAATTACATTTTCAGAGTATGCTTTCTTTACACAGCATATTAAAAAGGTTGCTTGTTATGAAAATGTGGTATAAAAAAAAGTGAGCATACCCACCACTCTTTCCCTTTTTAGAATAAGCAACATTATGGAAAGTACAGAAAGATCAATTGCGCCAGATCAATTCAGTTCGTTCGTTCGTTCGTTCATTCATTCATATCCTGCCTTTGTTATTTTCACAAATGAAGGTGGCAAACATATTCAACACACCTTCTTCCTCCTATTTTCCCCATAACAACAACCTTGTGAGGGGAGTTGGTCTGAGAGAGAGTGACTGGCCCAAGGTCGCCCAAGGTGACTTTCACGGTTAAGGTGGAACTTGAATTCACAGTCTCTTGCTTTCTGGTTTGGTGCTTTAACCATTAGACCAAACTGGCTTCTTTGACCACAGCCACACATAGCTTCATGCATTGCCTCTTCTTTTTTCAGCTTCTCACATCTCTCTTCTGAGGTTTCATCAATTCTATCCAAGAACATCCTTCTTGGTCTTCTCCAGTGGTGGAATTCAGCCAGTTCGCACCAGTTCAACAGAACCGGTAGCTAATTTTTTGTTGCCCAGGCCCAGAATGGACTTCTGGAAGTGGCATCCACAAAGAGAACCAGTTGTTCACATATTTGAATCCCACCACTGGTCTTCCCCCAGCCCAGCACAAAGTAGTGTTTTGCACTTCTGAAATTCTGTTCATTTTGTCACTTTCATACCCTTCTTATCAGAATTCTGCCAAACACTTTCACAGGCAGATGTAACAAACTGTTCCCCCAGTAGTTTTTGCATTCACTCTTGGTATTTTTCTTTTCCTTTTGCATAAGGAAAGAATAACAGCATTCTTCCAAACTTTAGTAGCTTTCACATGCCCATTAAAGAATGGTCTTCATAAAACACTCTAATTTTTCTCTAGATGAATCATCTACATCCTTTTCCAACGTTCTCACATTAATCATTTTTTTTCATTCCTTTTTTCTGGACGCTAACATTTATAGCATTCATTTTAATGCCACTCTTTGCCTATTCCTTGCTTACCAACTGCCCCATTTAGTGACCATTCAAATCTACCACAGTGAAAAAAAAAAGCTTTGCAACCAATCCTCACATTTACAAACATTCAGGCAGTTTGCAACCAACATACCTTTATGACCATTGCAATATCCCACACTCATGTGATCACCATTAGCCTGTTTCTCAATTGGCTTGTGACAAGCAAAGTTAAATAGATCGACTTACGGAAGTCACAGTCATGTCATGTCTCTCTTAATGACTGCAGTGACTTGTTTAACAACTGAATGGGAAGTGAGGTCAGAACCTGTTATGTGATTTTTCCACTTAGTCATCATGGCACTTAGCAACAATATTGTTGGTCCCCATTGTGGTTACTTAGCAAGGACTACTTGTATCACCATCATTTTCACACAGATCTCTCAAACTGCTATTAACATAATCCTCCCATTCCCTCACACAAAACTCTAAAATACTTTTAACGTTCCATCGTCTGAATTTCATAGATCTTATTTCTACTTCCATTCATCTCACTGGAGGCTCCTTATTTAGCCCATTTTGCCAATTTTGATACAATTTATTTCCTCCAATAAAGATGAAATATTCTCTCTACCTCATTATTCTTTCTATCTCTTATTCTCTCTACCTCATTTAATCTAACATCTTCTTTCATTATGCCCCTTTTCCATTCCATTTGGGAGGTTAATCATTTTGCAAGTAGGATATGTATGTTTTTTTTCTAGCAGTCACTCCAGTTTTTTTACATTTCCTTCCATTGCTCGTTTTTCCCTAAGATCCACTTTTGATGCTTCTAAAAATGCTCTGTCCCACATTCAGAAGCTTTCATCTCTCTTGCATTGTTCACTAATCCCCTCAGTCTTTCATCATAAGCATCCCAACAAGTCAGAAGAGCATGCAATGTACAGACACACTTCATTCAGGAATACAAAAAGAATGGATTATGTGTCTGAAGCATTTTGCTTAAACAGAAATGAAGCAATTTTGAATCTCTCTCTCTCTCTCTCTCTCTCTCTCTCTCTCTCTCCCCACCCCTCTCTCTCTCCTTTGTCAAGAGCAATTTCTATTCTGTGCAGAGTCTTATTTGAGGAATATTATATGAATATATATAAAAGATCAATCACATGATTATAATTGGGAATTTCTTCTGAATAAGCATAGGTGGGATGGAAATAATACAGAATTATTCTGTATATATTATAGCTTCCATGTTTAAATAACTGGCCATATGAGTCTTTTGTTCTTTATTGGAAAAAAAAAGGAATTTGATTATTTGGCATATAATTTTATTTTCTGCACACCATCAATTATTTCATTATTTATCCAGTCTTAGTTTCTTGTAATTTAGTTAGAATATTTTTTTATTTTGAAAAATAATTAAAAAAACTAGTTTTTCATAAAATGTAATGACTGCTAATAATATCCATGCTTACTTAGCAAAGTTGTGTTTCATATTTTATTATTTCATTATAGGGTTTTAAGATGATAATAACAAACGTTTCTCCTAAAAAGTCATGTCCAACTCTAGTTTCTTAGCCAAGGGAGCCAGAATTGTCCGAAGATGCTTCCGCGGTCATGTGGCCAGCACGGCTATATGTCCAGGTGCAAGGAATGCTGTTACCTGGTACCTATTTATCTACTTGCATTTGCATGCTTTTGAACTCTCTGGTTGGCAAGAGTTGGATTGTCCCTACATTTGTTACCATTCCTGTATAAGGGTTATAAGAGCTATCCTGTGTAATACGAGTTATTAATTTTATCATAAATTTATCAGTAGGCTAGGAATGATTTATTGCCACGTCTTGGGAAAAATGGATATCCAATATGTAATTTTGAGATGAGACGCATCCCTTCCAACTTACCCCTCCCACGTTCCATGCTTTCGCAAGAGCTGCCCGAGCTTCATCCAGCTTAGCATCCAACAAAACCTTGCCATTTACAGCCATTATTTCATCTCCTTTCACAATACCTCCTGATAAGGGAAATAAAGGGCAAAGCAACAAGCAAATCCATATTATCTTTCTTTTACTGTTCTGCTTTTCTGACTTTTCTTCTTCCACAAAAATAGCTGTATAAGGTATTTTGTTTGGCTGCACAAGAAATGTTTTTCTGTAAGCAGTCATTTTTTCTACTAGAAGCTTCTTAAATTGAATTATCACAGTGTTAAATCATGACATATTACACTACCCTTATTTAATTGTGCCATTTATTATATGTAGTTCTTATTTATCTTCATTCTGGGTTAATAATGAACATTAAAACATATTAGTTTTCCAATCTCATTTAATTTACTAGACACCACAATAGCAATATCGTTGAAGTCATTTAGGGAACAGATAAAGGTAGGGTCCCTGGTGTTTTGTTCTAAAATAACAAATTTTATTGTTTAACTTTTATATTGATGCCTATATCAAATACATACATACATTACTGAAATGTCTAAATTTTGTTAAACATTTTGATATTTGAGTAGTTAGGAAGAAGTAATCACTTCCCAATGCACCAACAAATTAGATCATGCAACTTTGTTCTCATCATAAATTTTCCCAGAGTAATTTCAGAAAACTGGAGAAAACTCTAAATACTGAATCTTATTTTAAATGTAAATATTTTAGATATAAATTTATGCCAATCTGGGGATATAGTTTGGACTTCTAGAAAATGCCTAGCTAAAGCTAACTTTATTTAAAATGTGTTAAGATGCCTTATATTCCAGCTTTTTTTCTTAGTAGATACCCACCATGCTTGTCTGCAGCACCACCCTCATAAATAGCAGACACCACTACTTTTCCAATTGGTGAATCAATGCCGCCTTCTACTGCAAGGTCCAATGATCCTTCCTATTAAAAAGTTTGAAAAAATGAATATATAATATTTGTCAACCACTGTATCTTGAATTAAATATTATATACTTTCCTACTTATGTTATGAACTTACAAAATGAGTTCTCCTTCTCACTCTAACCCAGATTTGAAATTATACCCAGTGAGTATAATCTTTATGTGTTACTTTTCTATAAAAATGGTAGCAAGCTTTACAATATAAATTATAATAGAAAACATTAGATGGGACAAATGAAACTAACATAGTCAGCAGTGTTAACCAAAGAAAGTATTTAAAATCATATTAAGTCAAATAAGCACAGCAACATAGATGTGATTAAAAACCTCAGAGAACAAAAAGAACCTTAGCCAATTGTCCAAAAATTAAAGAATGGTTGTCCATCCTTATGCCATCTGAGAAAGATACTTTATGAATGACGCATCAGCACTGAAAAGGTCCCTTCTATTCTATTCTATTCTATTCTATTCTATTCTATTCTATTCTATTCTATTCTATTCTATTCTATTCTATTCTATTCTTGTGTTCATCCGTCACCCACACACTTCATGTATGGGCACTTTATCTGAACTTGCCCAGTCATTTCATAGGTTTTATTTGCTTGTTCTTTCAATAGCATAATATTCCACACCAACAAGACTGTAATAAAGTTCTGATTCAAAGTCAATGAATAAAGAAACAACTAAGCTGAAAAATGAAGCTGTCCTTCATAATACAACAACAAATGTATCATAGCTGCTGTTGAGATCAGAGCTTAATTTTCAATGTTTTATCTTTCCAGTGGGAAGGCTCATCTCTGAATTTTGTGAAATGGAATTCCTCTACTGAATGTAGCAATTGCAGTATAGTATCTATCTTCCATCATAAACAGTACCTTTTTTATATGAAGGAGTCGTACATCTTTTCCCATAATCTGATCTGGTGAAAACTAGCAAAATTAAACAAATGTCAGTAAGCAATCTCTATTACAAAAAGGGAAATACATAGATCCTACTTTATATTGAGATCATTCACTAGTCCATGTATCTCAGTGTTGATATTCCAGGGTTTATCCATCCCACTTGTACCAAAGTTACTGAATCAAAATCACCTTCCTATGAGGAAATATTACAATTGGGTGGCATTTTCCCCTCAGAAAGAAGGTGAATAAAGGGGAATCTTACAGAATAGTATAAAAATTTGATGTGAAAAATGTGTTAAATGTGAGGAGATTTAGAAATGGTAAAAGAAAGTGTTGCTGTTTTGCAAAATATATTTAAACTAGAGAATTTGCTGATACAGTGACAACTTCCAATTATTTATCATGTATGAAAGATATGGTTATTAAATTTCATGGCAGTGTTACATCCTGAATCAAAGGGAACATGCTTTGATAATAATTACTAGACAGCAATGCTGAAAAAGTATACATTTTGTATCCTTCCTGATAGCTTCCTGGGTACATTTGGATAGCCACTATGTCACCCAGCTGGATCCAGCATTTCCCAGCTGGATTGGCAGGATTTTCATCTAATCAAGCAAGGCTTTTCTTGAGTAGATATCATGTACTGAATGTGAGATGTTCAGCATGGATAGCATGTAAGTTATCACTAAGCCATAGGCCCTTCCCCCTTAGTGGTCACTTACAGTTCACGCTTCTTACCATGGTGTAGGGATCAAAGTCCTCCACATATTTTTGGAAGCCCTGAAAATAAGGATGGTAATCAAATATATGCATAATAGCTCTAAATAAAAATAATGATAAAAAGAAATGAAGTGAGAAAGAAAAGCCAGAAAGAAAGAGATAAATTGTATGTTCCTCCTGATATTAAATCATGCAAGCTTTTAAGGCTAGATCTACTTTTTAGAACACAAGAGTTAGATAATTTAATCTGAAGGTTTCCTGAATTTGTTCTTCACATTTACCGTAGATTGACCATTTATTTTAATCCATCCAACATGAAGGTCATGGGCTAGATAAATGTTGATTAAGACCTTTGTACTCCTCTAGCATAATTAGAGTAGAACATGTGGGAATTAAAAGCAGGACACTGGACTGCTGATTATCATGAGAAACACAAAGTGGAAAGCAATTGTAAAACATATTTATTTAACCCATCAACAATATTCTGTAGCAAACAAACATTGTTAAATCTCTGAAACATAAAACATCCTGTTTCACAGCTCAGCTGCTTTGCTCCACTGAACTTCCTGGGCAAGGAATTAAACTATGTTATGATATAACTGTAGCTGGAATCCCTTTGCTAAAATTTCAGGCCACAGCTATATTTAAAAGCTATAACTACAGAGGCCATAACTGGCCTTCCTATTTACAATAAAATCAGTGGGGCACAATTATTTTTTTTAAGTGTGTAGGAAAAATCCTTACAGCAGAACTAAACAGGATCAATATTTTTATGTAGAATAGTGCTGCTTTATTAATTTTAGTATGGCTTAATCATATCTAATTTACTCCTTGCTATCTCCTCACCTAGTGAACTCCAGTTCTATAGCTCCAATTTATCAGAGTCGTTCTTTGGGGAATAAATATGGTGCAGAGACTCCAAGAGTGCCTTGGATCTTCTCTATTGTGTTGTTACAGTGAGGACAAAAGGGCAGAGGGGATGTGAGGAGGTATACTTTATTTGAGAATGGGACAACTCGCCACAGACCACTCACCACAGCTGTCTTACCACAGCTGTCTCACCATGGCTATCTCACTACAGCTGACTCACCCTGGCCGACTTGCTGCAGCTAACTCACAATGGGACAACTTGCTGCAGGACAATTCAGCATGGGATAACTCAAAAGAGAGACAAATAGAATTGTAGCTCACCCCTGGCCTTGAGGATTTCTAACTTGCGAAGGCCCAAACCTAAAGCAAGACAAGGCCTGCTGCAGTTCACTTGTCCCTCTCTTGAGTTATCCTGTGTTGAACTGTCCCTCAGTGAGATGGCCATGATGAGTTATCCCGCAGCAAATTGGCTGGGTGAGTCAGCCAGGGCAAGTCAGCCTGGGTGAGTTGTCCTAGACCAGTGATGGCGAACCTTTTAGAGACCGAGTGCCCAAACTGCAACTTAAAACTCACTTCTGCATCATCAGGTGCCGGGTGGGTTTGGCCCATTGGGTGGGTGTGGCCCATTGGGTGGGCGTGGCTGCAGTGGTAACGGCAGACTGGGTGGGACTAAAAAGTTCAATCAATCAATTCCAACTTTGCAAGATCTTTTTTTTTTCCCCGAGAAGTTGAAATTGACTGATTGATTGAACCTTTTTTTTTTTTGCACACGGCTGTGGAGGCCTAAAGTGAAAAGGTTTTCTAAAACCCAGCTGAAGGCCTAGGACTGGAGCGATGGCGCGCGTGTCCACAGAGAGGGCTCTGAGTGCCGCCTCTGGTACCCGTGCCATAGGTTCGCCACCACTGTCCTAGACCAAGGGTAAGCAACCTTGGCTTTTTTATGACTCATGGACCTCAACTCCCAGAATTCCTGAGCCAGCCAAGCTGGCTCAGGAATTCTGGGAGTTGAAGTCCACGAGTCATAAAAGAGCCAAGGTTGCCTACCACTGTCCTAGACCTTACTTATTTGGATGCGCTACTATAGATCTTTTCCCTTCCATTGATATAAACAGGAATAGATTAGTATGCTGGTTTTTGGACTGCTTTGGGAGTCTCAAAGGAAAAGAGGGTTTTGAATCAAGTCCCCAACCTGACCTTCTTCCTCTATCACCAAAACTGACAGAGATGAAAATGGTAGTTCCCAAGTTTCCATGCCCCTTTATAACTGTGTCCCCTTCATTGCTTATGGAGAGAGAAAGCTACAACATCTAATGATCTCTAGGATGATCTAATGATGTCTATAATTTAAAAAAAAAACAAAACCTTGGCTTCTTTAGTTGGTCTAGAACAATTTTCTCCAATATTTTGCTGTAGGTTTTGCTAATCAAAATCATGTGAACAATCAGTTAAAAGAACATCGCAAAAAAGAACAGCACATAACAGGTTATATAGGAACTTAACATACATAGCACTAAACTTAGATGTCTTCCTGATAACTGCTTGTTCAACATGAAACAAATTCTTAAATCTATACAATCCTTTTGTTCCTTCTAAAAAGTCATTAATATCTATAGCCCTTGGTAGGTGCAATGGAATGCCTTAGGGCAGGGGTGTCAAACTGCCGGCCTGCGGGCCAGATGCGTCATATGGAAGCCACGTCCACCCCAGCTCCGGCAAGGGGAAAAAAGTCACGATACGTCACAACATGTTACGTGATGCGGCGAGTTTAACACCCCTGCATTAGGGGCATTGAGCAAAGAGCAGGTGAGATGCTGCCAGGAAACAATCAAAGAAGAGGGTCAGGAGCCTCAATCACATAATAGACATAGAAAGAAATTAAGAAAGAACTGAAAAGACATGCAAAATTGATGTCAAACCCTCCCAGATAAACCAAGCAGGAAATAGGACTTTATGAAATAATTCTATTTTATGGTAAGGCTACACTAACAGAATCTTGCAAGTCTGAAATTACAAACTTCCCACCCACCACTTTTAAATCCCTGATCCATTAGGGCAGGTCCTTTCTTAGATTTGTGTGATGGTTAAGCAATTAGGCTTCCTGCCTCTCTTCTCTGATTGCTTCCTGGGCAGCTTCTCCTCTTCTATTTCCTCAAGGCCATACTGCATTCCATTACAACATGGAACTGGATGTTCTACACACCTACCGCCATTTTTGTCTCAGTTTCCCCCTTGTTAATACCTCTAGGCCTGGCAACATACATGGAGATTTCACAATAGCATGGATGCAGCAATGGTATCTTGAGAGCAAGGATAAGCAAACATTCCTGAGGCTCCCAGAATCAGCATCAAGTAGGTCCAGCTCCTCCCAAGAAAAAATGGCTTTTGTGAATCCCTCACTTAATTCTTTCCTACCTAGCGTTTTTTACCCAGTAAGAATCTTTGACAGTTGGGCATGGGTTCAGCCAGCAACTGGTTGGCATAATCTGAGGTGTGATATGCTATGCAGACCACAGGCAACTGAGCAGGGACTGAATAGGCTGATTGGGCAGCAATTAGGCTGTGGAAAATAAGGATTGAGAAGGATCCCAGTCAGCCCCTGCTCAGTTGCCTGTGGTCTGCCTAGCACACTATACCTCTGAATATGGCAGCCACAGTTGCTCGTGAAACATCAGAAAATCTTCTTTCTAGACCAGGGTTGTCAAACTGCCAGCCTGTGGGCCAGTTGCATCATATGGAGGCCGTGCTCACCCCAGCTCCGGCAGTGCAAAAAAAGCGCAACATGTTGCGACACATCATGTGATGTGGCGAGTTTGACACCTGTGTTCTAGACCAGAGGTCCCCAAACCCCAGTCTGTGGACCAGTACTGGGCTGTGGCATGTCAGCAATCAATCCACACAAACAAGCAAAGCTCCATCCACGGAATGCAGGCAGCACACAAAATTACATACCCTCCGGTCTGCGGAAAAACCTCTCTCCATGGAATTGGTCCCTGGTGCCCAAAAGGTTGGGGACCTCTGTTCTAGACCATGGTCACAAAACCCTGAAGTCCAACATTGCCCAACAGATACTAGCCATGAAAGCCTATACCAACCAGTAAACCTTTGACAGTCTTTGAAAAATCAATCTAAGCATTCTTTGTCAATTAGCTAAGAATACTAGAAAAGCTAAGATGAAAATAGAATATACTCTTTTACAAAATCCAACCTTAAACCTTACTACCACTGGAAAAGACAGCTGCAATCGATTTACTAATATGAGAACTCATCTATGCCACGCCACCTTGGCCATTCTGGGTGGATTCATGCAATCCATCATTTTCCTCATTTATTACCAAACCACATTTTCTGAACAATATCAATTAATTTCAACAAAGGATCCAGTAGAAATAAGATAGTATTGAATGGAAAAAAATATTCATATTCCTTATGTTATATTATATTTGAATGAAAAGGTCTAAGAGTCACTAGTAATAATATCAAATGACTGAAGAATTTACAGCATCAGATCTTTTTGTATTCATAACCAGTTTCTTCATAATCTAGCAGAGCTGCATGCATTCACTGAAAAAAACAGCTTGCTATTTGCATCTTTATCAGTATCATGAGACAGAAACAAAAGATAAAATTCTCACAGCTCACTAATATCACACATATACTTGATAAGGAAATAGTATTTTACTTGTTTTTTGTTAGTTTTAAATGATGAATTGTAAACCACCATCCTTTTAAACATCTCTTGAGGCTGAAAAGAAAGAAAAACAACTCACTGAATGATCAGCTAGTTCATTAGCCATGCATCGCTCCACTCCTTCATGCTCACATGCATTTGAATGTCTTTCAGTTTTACATTATCTATTCAAAGTTATTTGGAATTATTAGGAAAAGCAGTCCTGTAGGATGTTCATGGTTTTCAGAACTGTGAACAGGCAAATAGATGATGGTTATAAAAGCCTGCTCTTCTGGACTATTCCAATTTTTCATGGGAAAAGCTCTAGAAAGGAAAGGTAGGAAGCCAGGTGACAACCATCAATGTTTAACTGAATTCTTCCTTCACCTGAGATCCATTAATATCAGGTTGTCCTGTAAGAAGAATCTCTAAAGGAAAAAGAAAGAAATAAGGCTGACTCAAAGGCGTATATACGTTTGGACAACTTTCTGCAGTTTTCTTGGCCATCTTCTCAGAAATAGTT